TCTAAAGTTGACTGTGGAAAACTACAACCTCCGCACTTTCAATGCATTTTCTTCTAAGTAAAGTCTCTTCGCTTCCTAATAGGATTGACATTTTTATATTGCAATATTGGAATGATGTTATAATGTGACCAACCAGAGCGTTGCAAGTATTTTACGATTCCTAGATGTTCCACCATTTGGGAGTTTTCTGTATTTTATTTGGCATATTAAGAATTAAATATAAAGAAACATATTAATCCGCGCGGTATCATAAAAATATATTATAATCAAATATATTACCCTGAATGATAGCTGTACGTCTATATTGAAGAAATGAATCCTATATGGCTATAAAAAAAAATTTCATTGATTCCGTTTAAGCTTGTCACTTTCAATAATTTCCTACTTGCTTTCTCGTAAAAAATTCATATACATGAACGATTAGGGGCATTGATTTGCAAAATAACTACTGCACGCAGGAGTCGCTTAATCATTGTAGAGATATAAATGACGACTTCTGAGAACATTTTTTTAAGGAATATATCTGTTTGGCTTTTTTATAAATAAATATATATATATATATATATATATATATATATATATATATATATATATATATATATATATATAAAAATGAACATTGAATTTATATTTACATACACGCTATCTCTGATACTGAGCACTTTATCCAATATATATATATATATATATATATATATATATATATATACAAATGAATAGAAAGGACAGAGAGATTAAGAATCCAGAGTTCTTAGCATTTACTTTTTAAAAAGTAGTGAAAATTCTTAATATAATAATATTTTTATTATAATATTTTACATCGCTTCACAAAAATTTACATGTTACAGAATTTTAAAAAGTGTCTCTCATAGGGCGATTGTAGAAAACTTATGATGAAAATAATTTACATGGGAAGCAGAAAAAATCGGTAGCTTATTTGAGATTTCAAAATGAGAGGATGGAAAAATAAATCCAAAATTTAAAAAAAGGCATCTGTGGGCAAGACTCGATTAACCAATCAAAAGACAGATCAAATCTAAAATATAAAAAAATGGAAAATAAGGTCAGAAGGTGGAGGTAGGTGGGTTATTTCCTCATGTCTAGATGAATTGACACTCTTTAGACATGTCCAACGCAGACATACTGCTGCAAATCTTACTTTAAAGTGAAGTAGACATAGAGTTATATTTTACAAAAAGTTATTTTTAAGGAATTAGAAGATTTTTTTTATAATTTTTGTTCATACTTATGAACCTTCTTAAAGCGGAAGCTAATTTAATTAAAACACACACACACACACACACACACACACACACACACACATATATATATATATATATATATATTTCAATTAAAGGTGCAAATTATAATTTCTAAATTCATGAATCATTCATACAAAAACAAATATAGAGGTTAATGATTTAAATGGCGAGAATACATCTTCGCAAACAATATAAATAAGATACATCGAACCCCGAACCTGTATAAGAATGATATGTCCCTGTTCATAAATTCCAGTTGCATAAGGTCTTTTAATTTTTACAAGCTTGGAAAATCTTTAGGAAAACATCCTCAGGTATGGAAATAGATTTTGTTCTTGTTTTTACTTCTCGGTAATAAGAGGACAACGAAAATAGAGATGTAATCCGAAAAAATGCTATGAGAATTGTGTTATTGTTTTGGAACATGCGGTCACAACGCTGAGTTCGAATTTAAATTTTAAGTTTGTGCGTTTTTGTACAAAAGAGAATTCTTTTTTACTGGTAGATTTTCCGTCTATGTGGCATGAACTATATTATTCAATAATAAGAGTAATGTCACAATTATTATCCGAATGTTGCACGTTGGATCAGTTATTTTAATTTCAATTAAAGGTGCAAATTATAATTTATAAATTCATGAATCATTTATACAAAAAACAAATATAGACGTTAATGATTTAAATGGCGAGAATACATCTTCGCAAACAATATAAATAAGATACATCAACCCCGAACCTGTATAATTGAAATTAAAATAACTGATCCAACGTGCAGCTTTCGGATAATGTTTGCAATAACATAATATGATAGATTAATAAATATATTTCATTAATTCTTTAGAAATAGATTTTTTTACGTTTCGAAAACGAAGATATGACATTCGAAAATAATCTAAACAAGTGAGTTTTAACATGTTTGGTTATGACGCTCTTTGTAAGCGAGTTGTCAATACCACATCTGATCAAAGCGAGCGCAGGTTAGAATCTTATTGTCTTTAATAAGATTTCTCGAACTTTCAGGACTGTGGACCAGATAAAATGCTGTATAAAATAAATGGAGTTTCTATTTAAATATTGGTAATCACTAAAAATAACGTTTAAATTAATACAAATATGTATATGTATGTGTGTGTGTGTGTTTGTGTACATATTTATATCATTAAAGCGCAAATTTATATTAATCATTTTATATTTCGCTATGCCATAAAATGGAGGTACGGTAGAATAATGGATAGAGAGCTGAGTTCGAATTCCATTTGAATCCATTACTTTTCCTCATGTAGGTTCTTGTGTAAGGTATGAATCTTCTTCTCCCCCAGCTAGGGGTAAATAGCCGGGCAGACCAGTTTTATAAACTTGGATGGCAATTGGTCTACAGCAGAAAGAAATGGCAACCAACTGCGGGAAAAGTCAGTCATGTATCGAAAGACGACACATAACAGTTGTCCTAAAGTATTTCTCAAGATGGTGGTTTTTCAAAAATACGATAATATTCAACCATACAGAATATTAAAGGATAACTTATAATTTATTAAAATACATAACCATTCCTATTGCTATTTAATTTCATATTAAGTCACCTATATTATTTTAAAAGGTGATTTTAATAATGATCATGTTTCCGTCAACTGAAGTCAAATGAAATCTCACTCAATGAATCAATCATTCTATCCGTTTGAAAAGACAGCTCACGGTGCTTTGATCTATGCTAGAGTGTTAAATTATAGATATGATCCTTGATATATATTTTATATATTTATCGAACAAAGATTGCCACCTGAAAAGCAAAGAATTTCTATCTACTAACGTCCTTCTATTGAATTCATTGAACAGTCATCAGAGCATAATGTCTTGTAATTCACGTCCTTCGAGATATTTTCTCGGTCCGCGAAGTCGCTGTCTGATGTTTATCTTGTGCGGTCTCAGTTGTTAATTTATGTAAGAAATTATATATATATATATATATATATATATATATATATATATATATATATATATATATATATATTGTGTATATTTAGGTAGTGATTTCTTATTAATGCATGTTTCATTACATAATATAGACAAGTTTTGTGTATTTATTTTAACTTCTTTCATATTGTCTAATAAAGCTTAATCACATTTATCGTTGAAAGACGAAAGGATAACACCATATTGACACATATATATATATATATATATATATATATATATATATATATATATATATATATATATATATATATATATATAGAGAGAGAGAGAGAGAGAGACGCAAAATGTAGCAAACGTAAGCAAAGTATTAATTGGTTTTATTTATTAATCCGATATATTCTTGTTACTTTACAATTCATTTGAAATAACGTTTTAAATAATACAAATATAGCAGATTAATAAATAAAATACATTAATACTTTAGAAATTGGTTGTGTTTCGGATCCGAACTTATGACTTTCGAAGCAATCTTGACGAATAAAGTTTGATTTAAAGGTAAAAAGAACAAAGTTTTGTTATGAGCCTCTTCGTAGCCGGTTAGTCAAATGCACAGCTGATGAAACGACGAAAATTATAAAGACCCTGCAAAATAGGGCGCAGATTCGAATCCTGCAATTTTCTATTCTATTTTCTTTAATAATATTTCTCCTATGTTCAGGACAGTAGATCAAATAAAATACTGTTTCAAATAAACGGAGTGTCTACTTGAATATGTGTATCGAAATAAAAATAACGTTTAAATTAATACAAATATATATATTCCTGTGTAGTTGGGGTAACAGCATATATACATAAGAGTGTTAGTGAATTAAAAATTGAAAATTTGATCATTAGAACGTCTCTGCATTACGACTTCAGCGCTATATCAGACACCAGGACGTGAAACCTCCTTCTCACCGAGTTCGTGAATGTCTTAAGGCTGGGTCTTTCCAAGAAGCTACACAAGCTCTATTAGAAAAATGCGTCCACATTTAAACTATTCTTGGACGACAACATTTCCCCCGTCTGAAATGTTTTGATCTACCGAATCGATCGTTGATTCACCCAATCAGAATTTGATGACAGATCATTTTCAGAAATCAAGAGGAGATAATACCTTTTGATGTTGTGTCTTCTTCAACTTCTAAGAAAAAAATGCCGATTCTTCAAGATTCATAGTAAAAGATTATGTTTATAAGTTTACTGCTTTGATTCAAGCCTGAATTTGAACCCGCTACATAACGCCGTGCGCGTTCTAATTTACGCCAGCAGCAGAAGCTGTCATCACAACTTCTGTATCTTCAAAGCTGCTATCAAAGCGGAGTAAAGTAACATGTCCCGATATTTTTGATTAGGATTGCAGCAGTTCATTTTGGACATACAGTTAATGTTGCTATTTTAATGCCTTCTTATGTACGATCATTCTGAATAACGAGAATTGCGAATCTTTAAAAGAGAAAATGAATGAAATTTACATGCATTTTTCATAATCTGATCTTTTATTTCAGAAAATAAAAGAAACCAAAATGCTTTAAAAACAGCAAAAAATATATGTGCCGTTTATGTAGAAGGTGCTATAGTTGTGAGAATAATGTCCATACGTTGTTGGCTAGGTACTGATTTTAATGTGAAGGGGCGAGAATATTCCAGTAGGAAGGCAGTCGTTGATGATGACTAAACTGAAATTAAATAATCCAGATCACATGACACAGGACATTGAAGAGATAAGCCATATATCGTATATGATCATTGGGAGATATTTGAAAACACGTAAATATGTGAAAATCTATGGAATTTCACGATAGATAGATAGATAGATAGATAGATAGATAGATAGATAGATAGATAGATAGATAGATAGATTATTATAAATGCTCTGTTTTGAATTAAACAGTATTAATTAAATTTACTGTTGTAGTATACCTCGGACGATAATGGATATGTCCCCATTCACATAAATATGGTAGTAAATATTTGTATGTTCGTCTGCAATTGGAAATTCGCCTCCAGCTGTGCCTGGTCAAACTCTCTGCATCCAGGTACAGAGGATGCACAGATGAGGCTATGTCGAAGGGCAAAGTCTCGTCTCGGGAAACAGTTTCCCCACCCCGTTTTATATGGGGTCGACGGGGAATATTTGGCCGAGTATATGGGCTCGGATACCCCACATAAAATTCGGCCTTGTGACACATCTGACCGCGTAGGGTAGTTGGTAGATACCATGCAGTTGGATATTCACTTGATTCACTTCTAGTCATTGACTATTCTCTTCTACGCGCCGCTGTCGAATCTTATATGTGTTGTTCATGTCCTAAGTATTTTCGTTCATTAACAACCTTTGTGTTATTATTCTCTTCAGTGACCTTCCCTGGGTTACAACATTTACCGGCCTAGGTTTTGCAGACATTTGATAGAATTTATGTTCTCCGGCAGGAATAAAGCTCTATTCCTATACAGAAGCCATCATTTGAGCCGATGTGCTGTACCATTCAGCTACATAGAAGCGTCTGGCTAGCTAAGTCTGAATTACTACTTATAAACACATAATCTTCGACGATATATTTGGCCGATCATTTCTGCTAGCGAAACGTATCTTAACGTAAACAATGAGAACATATTAAATGGATTAAGTCCGAAAATTATTTAATATATTTTCTGTTTAAACGTTATTTTTATATTCAAATTAGATATATTTATTTATGAATTTTTTTCTTTCTAACGCAAATGCAAGTCTTTGTTTTCAACCATAAAAAGGTGTAATATTATCGCGGGTTTGCTAATACTTCTGTTGGAAATTGTAAGGCAATTTTATCTCCTCAATCTATTCTATCATTCCACTGGTCAGTTGTGTGATATTAAAAATAATTATCAGTATGTGTTCGTATATTGAAATGCAATTTCAGTCAGCATAGAACGATTATAATAATTATTAACATGACTTTCCAAAAGCGAAATATGTATATACAGAGAATAATTCATTTAAAAGTAAAGAAAAGAAATTGTTGTTTATGGGAGGGATTAAATAAAAAGAATTGCCAAATATGACTTCAGTTGATGTTTTAACTTAATATATGGGTAACTAAAATGTTGTTTTATTTAATTTAACATTGTTTTGATTTACTTTTTTGTGAGTGAATCATTACTTCAGACAATTCATCAGTGTAAAAGCGATGCAAAATATTTAAAGCTCCTTAACCCATTACCTGTCATGAGCCCCATTTGGGGATCTGTTAAAATTAAACTCACTACATGTTATTCCTTGTATTTACATTGAATTGCTTACATACATTGCATTTGCAGAGCTATATTTTACAATACTTAGCCTTTAAAGTTTTTTTTTATTAGTAGCCGTAAGAAGACACTTTCTGTCGTAATTTTACATTTCACGAGTAGAAAAATAATAACTATTTTGAGAAGTATTTTTTTTATTGTTTCCAATCAATATTTTTTTTTGATGTTTTATACACATATATATTTGACGTTCTCGTTTCTATAAAAAAGGCAATGGTGACTACTAAAATTAAACATAAGGAATAAACAAACTCATAAAACACCTGTCTGGGACAAAAATCTGCATTATAAATTTGAAAGTTAATGGGTTAAATTTGTAAAACGGTTTCCTATAATTTAACAAACGCCAAAAAGAAACTCTGCGTTTTCTGCCCGTTTATAAAAAAAAGCATCTGACCATATTTGGGTAGTTTAGTCACACCTAACATCACGTATCTTGTACATAAACCAGCTAGAAAATAATATTTCTATGAGGTATCAAGACTAAAACAACCGAAAATGAACCTTTATTCAAGTGTAATGTTTCAGTTGGATTGCCTAAGATAATCAGGTTATGCAACATCATATACGCAACAAAAGATTTAATGCCAGCAGTAAGAAATTTTAAACACATTTCTTATTAAAGAATCATAATCTGATCAATTACACACTTGTAGAGATCTATCACACTAATGCATAATTCAATAAATCATCCCAGCAATATCCAAATTGATTGGAGAACACTAGGCTGTTCCCATTAATGTTGTCATCTTAAGCAGGAAATACTTTTTATTCTCCAGACCTCACCGCATATGATTTGCTTTGCTACATCTAATTCACAATAGACAATAATATTAGACTAGGCGAGTAATATACAGTAATATTTAACTAAAGTATAAGAAGAGGTGTAATCTCCATCTTCGATAATTTACCAGTTTGAAAGACTATAGCAAAAACTGGTATCTTTAAATTTAGAAATTGTTGATGGGAGATTATTGATAATATTGGAAGCAATTTTATTGAATAAATTCTAATTAAACGGGAATATTTGATAGCATTTTTTTTTCAGTCTTAGTTTTGACATTCTTTACGAGATGGACTGACATACCGGCATGGTGAAACCAAATTAATTGTAAATTGATTTGCGTCTTTTAAAACTAAAAATAGTTTTATTAATATTCCACAGATAAACAGCAAAAAAGGAAATTTGATTTTAATTAAAACTGATTAAAGGCATCACAATGTTAATACTTTAGATACCTCGATTTTACAAGACATATGCATATTTAGGGAAATGCGCAATAAATATTCACTCATGTGAAATGAAAGAGTTTTTTTTTTAAATATATATGTTTGATAAAAAAAATTATATCAATGAATCTTCGCAATTCTCAAACTAATCAAAACATAACAATAAATAATATATTAACACACGATATAGTCAGATGTATAAATTATATCAATATATTTGATATAAAAGGATTTGAAAATTATTATAAACAGATTTATTGCGTTATTTGTAGCACATGTATCCTTATCTTTTTTGCTTTTACAACAATATTCCAAATGGTTATTATATCGGCCGTCACGGTGTTTATCTTTCAACGTTCGTTCAGTTTAATTTTGTTGATGATTATATTTTAGCCTCTGAATAGGAAGATGCTTATCTTGCAAAAGATAAAAATGGTGAGTATGCTCATTTTAGTCTGTTCCTTTTAATTTTGTCATCTTAAGCAACGCTTAAGGTCACATCACGTTGAAAGGCCGGTTACCGTACGATCAACCAGGTTAGTAAATTCATGGGTGACCACTTGCGAATACCAGCTGCGATAATTTTCAACGTGCATGCAGTGTAATAGTCAATAGAATTTGTAATCGGAGAGCTGAGTTCCTATACCCGTTGGGTTCGGTATATCAAATCACGTGCAAATACCATTGGGTAAGGTATGAATCAACTTCTTCTATTTGTTTTCAATAGCCTACAAAGTTTGATAAGCTGGAGAAAACTAACGAATGAATCAATCAATCATCTTATGCGATTTGAATGTCAAATATTTTTATATTAAGTGCTAAACACAGATTAACAAATAAGGGTCAGTACGATTTTATTACGCAGATCGTCTAAGGGGAAGGGATCCGTGACGTTAAAAAAAAAACACAGCATTCGAATTCTAGGATTTTTATCAAGGCTGAATGATCTATTTGCCTGGTAAGAAAGATGCCTATATTAGCCACAAATTATCTTTATGCTATATTTGAACTAGTATAAGTGCTTTTATGATTTTCTTTGCTAAGTAGAAGACTATATATATTTTTTTAAGGACAGGATTTAGAATTTAGCATATAGAATTGTTTCATAGTTGCTTAATGGACAACTCACACACACATACACACACACATATATATATATATATAAATATATATATATATATATATATGTGTGTGTGCGTCTGTGTGTGTGTGTGTGTGTGTGTGTGATTTATCTCCCTATTTTCCCTTGCCACTCCGGTGAATAAGGGGTCAGCCTGTTTGCTCTCAACCACTATTGTTTAATCTTCTACGTTACCCCCTCCTCTTTATCTCACTAGACAGATATATCTCTATTTCTCCAACTCTCTCTTTCTTCCTTTCCTTTTACCCGACCTTATGTAACCTATTTTAAAACATATTTTATGTTAATTTTCGTTGTTCGTTTTGTGCCTGGAAGAATTTTAAATTCATTTATTTTTTAAACTGTTTGGTGTGATGAATTGAAATCGAAATCTGGGATTCACGAAATAAAATATTTCCATGGCTTTCGGAAGTTTCCGCTTTCATTATTATCATTTGTTCTGTTCTTACATTGAACTCTCTGGATCTAAATCCTCTTTGGAATCATCCATACAGATTACCAATTACTTTTATCATATATATATATATATATAATCGGCATCACCGATTCATTAAAGGAAAACGACTTTTCTAGAAAAAAAAAACATCATGAAAACATTAAAAAATAAAAAAAATCATATAGAAAATGCTACAAATATGCACATTAAAAAGTAACAAGAATGAAAAAAGACAACATGGAAATGGTAAAATTATAAACACGTTAATAATGTAAGAAAAATAAAATAACAATACAATTGTAGAAATATAATAACAAGGGAATATTACAAAAATATGATGCACTAAATGATTAATACTTTTAAAAATTATGACTTTCTCGCGTAAAAAATTATATATTAAGCTAAACATAAATCAGGAGAAAAAATCTTCCAAAATATATTGCAATTTATTTCAAATTTGAAGTCTTGAGCCAAAGGTGCGTAAAGTTAATGTCAAACCAACATGAAATGTGTTTTAATCCGTCATAAATGAACATCAGAGGTTATTTAAGTTAAGAAATAAAGCATATGTTCATTTCAATTAGAGTAATGACAAATTGCACATGATTTTCTGTCATTTGCAGTAATATGTCTATATTTATGCGGGTATGAACAAATAAAAAATGAAATATATAAATATCACTTAAGAGTCTATAAATATTATAGATACATACTATTAGACATACATACAAACAGACTTACCGAAAGAAAGAAAGAAAGAAAGAAAGAGCCTCGGATAGATAGATAGATAGATAGATAGATAGATAGATAGATAGATAGATAGATAGATATATGATAGATAGATATATATATATATATATATATATATATATATATATGTGTGTGTGTGTGTGTGTGTAGATAGATAGATAGATAGATAGATAGATAGATAGATAGATAGATAGATAGATAGATAGATAGATAGATCAAAAGAAACAAATATACTCGGATATATAGAAAGAAAGAAAGCAACTCGGATAGATAGATAGATAGATAGATAGATAGATAGATAGATAGATAGATAGATAGATAGATAGATATAACAAAAGAAACAAATAGACTCGGATATAAAGAAAGAAAGAAAGAAAGAAATAAAGAAAGAAAGATACTCGGAAAGATAGATAGATAGATAGATAGATAGATAGATAGATAGATAGATAGATAGATAGATAGATGTTTCAGTGATATGAGCACCGCAAGCCTTGTCCATTATTAAGTTGCCATCTAGCCTCAGGTGTACTGCTAAAGTTTTCCACTTATGAAACAATGATCTCGAACATTTTCGCACTGTCAGAATCAATTTGAGGTAAGTGCTTTTGTCGTGTTCAGGACAAAGATCTTTTCGAGTAGCCACAACATTATATTGTTCAGTAAGGATGTCATTTCTGACTTACTTATCATGAGTTATCTTTCATTTTTCTTCACCATCATCTTATCTATCTTCCAGTCTCTCCCTCTATCATATTCTCCCCTTTCTCTTTCACTATCACTTTGTAATATATATATATATATATATATATATATATATATATATATATATATATATATGTGTGTGTGTGTGTGTATGTATGTGTGTGTGTGCATGTATGTGTGTGCGTGTATACCTATTCTAAATCAATGCACCATATTTAAACAAACACACACACATATATATATATATATGTGATATGTATATATATATATATATATATATATATATATATATATATACAAGAATACTGCCTACTGATATATGTGTATATATGTATGTACACATGTTCGTATATATACAATATAAAAACATTTCTGTACTTGAAACTAAACTATTTTATATATTACGTTTACATAATATTGAACGCATCTGAAAACTAAAATTGAAAATCATTTTTGTACAAATTTACATCTACATCTGTTTTAATAACCTGTGTTATTCTTTTATCACATAAGATTAACATTTAGATTAGATTTTAGAAATCCGATTATCGTAAAGAAATTCTGGATTTGTTCAAATTATTCCTGAAGAAAACTGTTAGGTCGTCACTTTTCCGAACAGGCTTTTTCGTGCTGTGTTTTTCTCATTGTTTTAAACGAAAGAAAGCAAAGTTAATTTTACGGTTAATGTTTAGCAACAATATATATTAAGTAATTTTTTCTTCCAGAAAGATCAGTGGAAAATGTCATGATGACATTCCTGGCATTAGATCTCTTGTCGAGACCCGGAAAGAAATGAGTACACACCAGAAACCAATGGGGAAAAAAACAATGAGAAGAAGAAAAGTAATACATATTACTATGATACTAAGATAAAACTAAACCTATCTATGAATTTGGTTTCGTAAAATGTCGTTAGTCATCGCTGGTTAAGTCTATAATGAGACACCATTTTTCCTGCTTCATTTTTTTCTCCTCTTTGCTCCAATATGTAGGACCACTATACACATTTCAATATGCACATTTCTTCCAAAACTTGCAAAGTAAGTTATCTTTCTTTCTTTGTTCTTCCAACTCAGTGAAAGGCTGTTTGAGCGCGGCCATTGTATAGGTGCTTTTACAAACTTAACGTAACCTATGAACCAAGAAATAGTAAACAGACATCCAATTATCATATTTAAAACTCCCAGATATACTGTAAGTACAAGACTACCTTTGGTCCTTCCAAATCTGCGCAAAGCTGACCTGAGGTCTATCATTCATGCGATGCTTATACTTACGCTAATTCTAGAACCAAAAGGAAAACAAGAAATACCCACGTGACATTAAGAACAGTCTTTATATGAAAAAGAAAATAAACGTTCCGTAGTACAAAGTTTTTGTATGCTTCTTCTTTGTCCATCATATATGAACAAGCACACACATAAAATATACACCAACTGTACAATCGTTAATGACATATAGCTCCGGATATTTCCTAATTATAAAATATGAATATATTAGAATATCTTTATCAATTTAACATGTGAAACAATGCAGTTTACTCATTTCAAAATGTTTGACAATTTTAAGGGTGAAAAATGGTTGCTCCCGATATCGTCACATCATCAAGAATCTCATGACGAATCTCCTTCAATCTGGCGCACGTTCAAAGGTGATAGATATAGAAATTCATTTGTAAATCCATGAGTCTTCTCTTATTGGTTGCTACATACATTTATACAGTTTAGAAAAGATTTTTAAATAGTCGTCGTATATTATATCATTAATCGAAATTCAAAATGAAATGAAAATGGACTCCACTAACATTACGAAATCGATTATTCATGATCTTACTAAAAATTATAAAGAAAATATCCTCGAATAAGGTAAAAAATTTCTGCTCAAGCATACCATTTTTGAAAGATGATTTTTTATATATATTCATTTTGTGAGGATAAATTGCACATTACCCACAATTTTATTTGATTTAGATCCTGCTCATATCTGTGCAGTTGAGGACATCGACCGAATATATTGAAGATATATCTCATTTTAATACGTCTATAAAATTAAATAAATTAAATTTAAATTCATCGCTATCTAATTCGTGAATTCGGATCTTTGGTTCATTGTCAGCAGCGCATTACTATTGTTCATATGATATTGACTGTGTCATTCTAAAGAAAAAAATGCATTCCATTTATTAATATAATATATATATATATATATATATATATATATATATATATATATATATATATATATATATATATATATATATATATATATATATATATATATATATATAAATATATATATATATATATTTGCCCAATTATTTAGACGTTGCTAATTTCAATAGGAAAAACCTTTCAGTTTGCAGCCTCCTGAAAAGAATAAATATATAATTCTGTCGCAATAATATGGTATAGGCAATTATTCATATTGAAAAGAACTGTTATGCAGTTAAAACTGTTATAAATAATAAAATTTCTAATTATGAAATAATTTCTCATTTATTTCCGAGGGTCATTCAATAATCACATGAATTAGTCTTTATCTTTTATTCAATAATCACATGAATTAGTCTTTATCTTCCCCATTCTCTCTCCAGATTTTACCTAAGCGTGTAACTCGAGTTACAACTAGAACCATACTTTCATAGGAATTAACATGGGTAAAAGTTTCTTGATCTGTCTAGGCAAACTAGTCTTCGATCACCGTCCTTTACTGAGTAGGTAAGTGTGTCTTTTCCTCTTGTTTCTTATTCAGTTTTTTTTTTTTTTTTTTACTTTTGTTCCTTATTCGAGACTGTATCTGGATAAAAGTTTCCCCCAACGTTTTCTTTTTCTTATATATATACAGTAGCATCCATAATAACATACTAAAATTTGAATTCTTTTTCTATCCTTTGCAAATGATTCAAATTTTAGTATGTTATTATGGATGATAATGACTACCAGTTGTCAAATTTTCAGCTTTTCACAGTTGTTATTTCTAACAAATATTAGGTTTTAAAATTTTGTCCCTTAGTTTTGGACGCTACTGTATGTATATATATATATATATATATATATATATATATATAGAGAGAGAGAGAGAGAGAGAGAGAGAGAGAGAAAAGTTCGTCCGTAAAGTTCGTGTGCACTTTAAAAAATTATAATTTTAATTTTTAATTTATAATTTTATTTGTATTTGCGATAGAAATAATTTGTAAAAACGATTAGATAGAAATAAATCTATATGTTTTTTAGGTTTTATTGGAATTTTATTTAAGTTTCAACATGTCCTCCATCATTAGCAATACAATGAGTAATACTATTTTGCAGTTCACGAAAAAAATTCCCAACTGATTTACAGTCTTGCCTGAAATCACATTAGTTATTTTAGCTATACTCAAAACTAGGTACATTAAACTTTATAACATTTTTACAGATTATTTCTATCGCAAATACAAATAAAGTTATAATTTTTTAAAGTGCACACCAACTATATGGACATCCTATATATATATATAGTGTGTGTGTGTGTGTGTGAGAAAGAGAGAGAGATTGAGATCCTTTTTTTCAATCTTACTCGAGGTAAAACACAAAATTACAAATATTAATTTTAAAGTCCGGATAAAAGAAACGATTTTCACAGTAGACATGACCTGTTCACGAGGGTGATTGATGCAAAATTTTCTGCCAGTCAATTTATTCTTATTAATTCTTATGCTAATTAAATACAATCTTCGATATGTCGAGTCATCTAAAGAACGGTAGCGATCATGACTATCCATAACTCCCTATCCTTTGTAATTTAAAATAAATAAAAAAATTTTTTACTAAATCCTCCCCCACTATCCATTTGCTCAAGCTCATCAGGTAAGTTATGCGTTGTTTTCAAATTTTCCCATTACCTTCGATTTGTCCTGTGGGTATCATATTTTCCAAGCTTTCAAGAACCTTTTCAAATATCTATAAAAGGAGGTCAGAATATGTTTATTTTACGATGTATGAAGTCATTACCAGAATGTAGGTAGAATATATTTTATTTTTTATCGATTAAAAATCGGTTTGTTTAAAATATATCATACCTTGAAAAATCTCCTCACAAATGAAGAAGAGAGGGGATTCTTCCAACGGGTGAATGCCATGGACAGAGCATGAAATTAACGTGGAAGTTTTAAGAATATTAGGAACTACAAAGATACTGTCAATAGATAAAAAGGGACAGTTGAATTTTTTGTTTGGGTATTAGGCACGTAATGAGGAAAGAAAGCTTGGTGAATTTAACACTTGCAATAACTACTGAAGACAAAAGAAGCAAAGCTATCAACGATTAATTTATCAAAGGAGTTGGTGTGAAGTAATGGGCAAACAAACAGAATGATATATGGTAAACCACCAAATATTTCTTTGGGTCAAAAAATGCAGGAAATTCTTGATCGCCAGGATCGCACTCGTCAAGAAGAGTGGCGACAGTTGAAGGAATAATAGTAATAACATATCCTTCAGTTAAATTTTTTACCGTCACATATTTGATTGTCAGTGAAATTCACATAATGTGGAGTTGCGTAGAAGGCACATAATTTCGAAATGTGCCACATAACATCTGTACAACTAAAATTTACCTAGAGTTAGCAATCATGTTATATTCATATGGTCAGAATGTCATATTGTTTTTTATGCTTACAATTTGCATTGTATTTATATAGTTAGCAATCAATCTATTTTATATGATTATTGATATGTCCCGGAAAGGGATATAATTGTTCGAAATAGCAAAGTGGTTTTGGACTACTGTAGCCGAGTAGGACAATCTAGCAGGTAACCG